AATTATAACTATATAAACAAGCCAGATTTTTACAAAAATAAATATATATTACATAAGACCCGAACTATAAATATTATTTATAAGCAAACTATCAATCCAACATAAGATGGAACAATCAATTTCGTTATTTTTAAGGTTTAATGAAGTCAACGTAGTGTTTTTGCAAAGAGCATTTCCAAATGCTTTTCCAACTTCAGGACCAAGTTGATTAAGGAAAAGAGCTAATGAAGTCAAAGTTTTATTTTCATATAAAGCTTTTGCCAGTACTTTTCCACCTTCAGATCCAAGCAAATTATTGTTAAGATCTAATTTTTTTAAACTATTATTTTTATAAAGAACATTTGCTAATATTTTTCCTTCTTCAGATCCAAGGTTATTTTTTCCAAGACTTAAAACGCTTAAGGTAGTATTTTTGTAAAGAGCACTTGCTAATGCACTTATCACCTCCGGACCAAACATATTATTTTCAAGATTCAAATGAGTTAAAGTAGCATTTTTATAAAGAGCATCCGCTAAAGCCTTTCCACCTTCAAAATCAAGTTGATTATAACTAAGATCTAAAGCAGTTAGAGTGGTGTTTTTACAAAGAGCTTTTGCCAATGCTTTTCCTCCTTCATGACCAAAATGATTATTACTAACATCTAAGAATGTTAAAGTGTTGTTTTTATAAAGAACTTCAGCTAAAGCTTTTCCACCTTCAAAACCAAGTTTATTATTACTAAATTCCAGCGAATTAAGAGTAGTGTTTCTGCAAAGAGCTTTTATCAATAATTTTCTATCTTCTAGACCAATTCGAACATTATCAATGCACAAATGGATCAGAGAACTATTATTGTTATAAAGAACTTCAGCTAATACTTTATATCCATTTGAACTGAGTTTATTGTTCTTAATATTTAAGGAGGTTAAAGAGACGCTTTTAAAAAGAGGTTCTGCTAGTAGGTTTATTAAATTATTATAAGCAGTATTTTGAACATTTAAATTATTAAGTTTATTGCTTGTTCTCAAAAACATTGCACCTAAAGAAGATTCGATTAATTGAACAATGTTCATAGACTCGGTATCATTTTTAGAATAGACTAATTGATGAGGACCTTCCATTTCGTAATTAAGCCAATCTATGATTCCACCGACTGAATAAATATTAATAGTTGTAATATAAGTAGTATATTCAAATAATAATTTTACATTATTTGGAAGTATTATTCCAAATGATTTTAATGGAGCTTGTTCTTCATCGTTCAAAGCTGAAAGACATGTTCTTATGAATTTTCTATTTCTAAAAAGGATAGATCCACTCCATAATATGGGTACAGAGTTTCTACACCATTGACGGTTTACGAGAAGGCATGAAAATAAGGCTTTATTATTATCTTTAAGCTTAGTTAATATAGCAGTAAGGCACTCGTTTGGTAATGTTATCATTTTTAAAAGAGTTGACAAAATATAATATACAACATAAAATGTGGGTAAATTAGCTTAGCTATATATGTTTGTACGTTGTAAATGTTACATAACATAAATTACGGAAAAATGACATATATGTTTCACTAGTACGTAATAAGTTTTGTTTATCTATATTTAGAAATTTGTTGTTTGAATGAAAAACTCGTGACTTCACGAGCTTAAAATCATCAAGCTTTTTTATTCGTTGTTTTATTTGTTTACCTTTCCAAGTTTGTACTTATTTATGTTTTATTGTCGCACACTTATATATTTATTAATTGTTGGTCTCTTAATTGGCATTCTACTGCTGATTAATGACAGTTCATAAACTTTAATAACTTTAGTACAAATAAACAATAGAAGAATATTTGAAGTTATAACTAACGAAAATTATAAAATGTAATGGCTGATAATAATGAGGATAAGAATGAGGAAGGAGTGTTTAGAAAAGTGTTTTCAACGTTAACAATGTTAACAAAGTTAGCAAGACATGGAGAAATATTTGATATCTTAGAACAAGACAAAAATTAAGAAATGAATTTTCTAATAGGTAATTTAAATGGATTATAGGCGTTTCACTGCACCAAGTGTTACGCTTATCTCCTGTTTTTTTTTCATTATTATTATTATCATCCCTTTGAATACTTTGAATAGTTCAAGTTTTGTACTTCTATTACGGTACAATGATTACCCATAAAAATTTTCATTTCTCGTATACATATTTCCTAAAAATGCATAGTGTCTATATCATATGATGATTGTCTTGTTGCACATATGCGTGAGTTTGCATATGTTTGTCGCACTAAAGTGTAAATTTAGGCACGGACAAAAATTTCCAAATTACGTTTTTGATAAGATCATCATAAAATCTTATTTAGATGATCAAAAAAGTAATCACTTTGATGAAAAATATCAAAAACATAATTTTTGTATCTACTCTTCGGGTAGTACAGTAATCAATTACTTTATAAATATGGTTACTTGTTATACGCACAGCCTAATTGATTATTGTGCTTTAAATTAGATAATGTTGCAATTTTGCATTTGCGTACATAGCTAGATATGATGCGCAAGGCGTAACGTAAAATATCGACATGATCGATGTGATCGCTGAGAAGGATATCCTATTCCACCACTATGGCTAAAGTTCACAAAGCTGTTTTTAAATATTATTTGTGCGGTGGTGAGAAACTATAAAGGAAAAATATAATCAATAAAAGTATTGATGGGAAAATCTTATAAAGAAGTACAAAGATGTCATCTTCAAGTATAGCTAAATTAAAAATGCTAATGGTGTATATGAAATGACGAATTGCCCAATAATGGTGTTATAACACTTAATAAAGCTCTTCAAATTCAATTTTCAAAACAAATATAAAATCTAATACGTAGGCAATTCAAAGCCGAAAACAATTTTCATAATTCTTTAAATTTTTAATAATATTTTCTCTGTTAACTCATCCTGTGACTGGCCACGAGCTGTATACATTAATCAAACTTCAGAACTTATTATTACATTGATACTTATTTTCCCCTGCATTTATATTTTGTATTTTCATCGTTTATCACCCTTTAATTCTATATTAATTACGTATTACCATTTGATCTGGATATTTGTTTAGCTTCCGGATAATCTATCTGCTTATCTATTGTCCGTATTAATATAGATAACCTGAATACACATCCAACTGATCGCGTTAATCCGTTCTTCTTTTTTCAATCCGGATAATCCTGATTGTTAAATTTACTAATAAAGTAGCTGTGCAATATTGTCGCACAGACCAGGAACGAGAAGCATAATTTTGCAAAATTCTTGGTTAGAGTTTCATCGTAATTTATGTTAGCTGGCATTAATAAATTTTTATAATAGCTTACTCAAAATTTTGCTATACGGATCTTACAAAATCCAGTGATTATTGGAATAATATGCTATACAAACAGAAAAACCTCCAGCGTTAACAATAATCGAGGAAGTCGTTTTATCTTGTTTATATTTTTCATTCTGATTTACAAA